TACCTCTAATGTTATGGAATATCTATACGTGTGCTTATTTTTTATTTTATTAACTGATACGGCGCGTAAATTTACTACATTAGTTTTGCAATTTGTTGAAAACTGCAGTGATGGGTTTGGTTAGCGACACAGTGGACATTTTATTTATGTTTTTGCAAAGTTCTTGTATAGTGTTGTTAATCTCGAATCCATCCAAACCCGGAGACTTTTACTGCACGAAAATAGGTTAATGGATTCGAAAAGAGTTCATCACCATCGGTGTTCATTACATATTAAAAAGGTTTTCCTAAAAAGGGTAATGAAAAATCTTATTTTTAAAAGAGTCTGTAATTTAAGAACCACTCGTCGGGACGGTGTCTGAAACTCGTAAAAATTAACCGAAACATTAGCATCTTATTTCTTTTTTTTTCCGCATCTGTAAATAATCCGAACGGTCTCGAGTTCAACGAAAAACATTAGCCGTATAGCTATTGTAAACTCTCATCACAGTATGATATCACACGGTGATATTATGTGACAATAATAAAAATAGCAATTTTACTACCGTAGTTATTATTTCGCGCACGTTTATTAAAGCTCGTGAATATATACACGAGTGCGACAGACTGATAATCAAATATGCACAGCGTTTAATTCTTTTGCCGGCTGTAAACAATATTGTGTGTGGTTCCGTCGTCTCGATGTGGGTAGGTGGGTAAGTAGGTATAAGTACCTACCCACGCGTTTGACTAAATTAATAATATCAATTAACACCGTTGCCTTGTTATTTGTTATTATATCATCTGAAGCTATTTTATATTTAACCAGAGAAACGTAAGTATAATAATATATATTATAATAAAATATAAAATAATACCTATGAAATAAACCAGTGTTTCTCAACCCTTTTTCTTCGACGACATACCATCTTACATAATATAATATATCTAAATAAATGGTGACTCAATCAAAACCGCATTCAAGCGTTGATTTTTGAAAAATAACAAAAAAAATATATAAATCAATGTAAGTTTATTATTGCAGTTATTCATTTGACCATTAAATACACTTTTAAATTTATCAAAACAAAAAAAATTAATTTATCAGCTTACTTCGTGAAACATTTAAAATAGGTATAAAACTAAAACAAAATTGGTCAAAACAATTTTATTGGTGACAGATAAATTGCACATTATCGTAAGTGGAACTAGGACTAAAAACTTTTTGAATAGGTATGCATTTTGTTTATCAAAATATTATGCAAAAACTATTTTTTTTATTTGTACATAACATTTAATATTATTGTTTACATGAAATTCAGAAACTTATTCAAACAGAAACTACTAATTAATAATTAATGATTATTTCTTCTTATTATTATATTTTATTGTAAGTAGTTATTATTACAGTGAATAATTGCTGTTAGATAGATATGTTCTTTCAAATGTTGAAACACAAACTAATTTTCAATAGATAATAATGAAAATAGCTGACATACCTGACAATCAACCAGGAAAGAAACATGAAATTAATGCATATAAATCCTAGCCCTAATAATAAGTAATAACAAATAGTTTAATATTATATAAGTCGTAGTAACTCGCAGTATTTAGTGTATATGCATCTCACCACAAGTTTTTCCGTTTTCGTAGACCTGGATAATCTGGTAATGGTATATTGGTATCTACCTATTAGGCGTGACAAAATAGATAGGTATTATCACAGTTGTAACATGTTTTCTTTCCGTATGCGCATCTCCTTCACATCCGGCCCATGTCGTAGTTCTCCACTTCTGATTGATTGATTTTGTTCTATGTCATATTATAATAATATGTATGTATTATATGATTGACAGCCTGCAATGAAAAGTGGAGAAATACGATATAGGTGAAGTAATAAAGATGAGTATCCAAAAAAAACTATGATGATACCTATCTATTTTGTCATGGAATTAGGCGGTACATCGTACATACATATTATCATAATGTTAATAGAGTACGATTTACTTACATGCCGACCGAGCAACGTTAAATGTTGAAGTCATTAGTTTTTGCCACGGTTTAAGATAGAATGGTTAAGCGACGAGGCCTGTTATTTCGGCGGAAGAGTTTCTTATCAAAAATATGAAAAACTCACTGCCCCGTGGCGCGATCTACTAAATTACCACGATAATCTTGATATTCTTTATTTATTAAATAATAATAATACTATACTAGGTATAATATAATACTATATTATAAATTATAATTATTATTAATTATTAATTATTATTATAATACCTACTTCATAATCCTTTATGATTGAAAACCACGGTTTAAGATCATCTATCTTAAACCGTGTTGAAAACGTAGAAGAACTTTACAGTGTATTTTTTTTTAACAAATGTCAAATTTATTTTTATTTTGGCATTTAATAGCTTTCCAATCTAATACCACCTGTATGAAGTGTTAACTAATTTTACAAATAAAAATAAAAACAAGTTGTTAAATAAACCGATTTTTTAATTTCAATTTTTCTATTCTAAACCAAAACAGATTACCAAAAGGAATAATAGGCAGTCCTTTTTATTTTTACATGAAATTTACAATCTGTTCTTAACTAGAACAATACGCAAATGTGCATAGGCGTAATTCGGGGGTGGCAAGGGGTGGCAGTTGCCACCCCAGAATTCTCAAACCCAGTATTTTGTCACCCCAGAATTTTGAAGTAAAAGTCTCAATAAATTACAAATACCTAATTGAAAAATACCCTGTAAATGAAATATAGTATAATTCTCATCGATAGTAAAAATAATAATTAAATATTTTAAAGAAATATATTTTTAGAATAATTGTAGGTATCTATCATGACAAAATATACATGTTCATATATACAAAATGTATACAAAAATTATAGTCATTATTAGGATCGCGATAACGATACACACGTCGCGCTACGGTACTAGTTTCCTGGGAAGTTATCGGTTATTTTTAGTTTCTACTTCGAATGATATAACTGATATTTTTACAATATATTTGGTCAACGTTCATTGCTGGTACAGTTTGATGTCAGACGTCAGTATTGATGTGTTAAGATTGAACTGAGACAGTGAGACATGGTAAGTTAATTTTAGTTATTTAATAATATGTTTAACTAGTGATGTGAAAATACAGTATTAATTTCCTTTATATAATACAGTGGGTATCAAACTATGACATAATTAATTTTTGTATTATACACTGAACAATAATCAAATTCTTATATTTTATAATATACACAAATTTTGAAATTGCACGATGACAATACATCGTAAAAATTATGTGCGTTTGTAAGTCGCTTATTGTCAGTAAGTAAAAATAAACAAATAGTAATCACGGGACACAGGTTATTCATAATACGTAAACCGTAAACGTAATCGATGTACTTTTATTTTTTTATAATTCATCAATGTTTGATGTTATGACAGGTTTCCCTAAATTTTGTTTACTTGTTAATCATTATTATTTTTTATCAACGTGTTCTTTATTTTGCAATAATTCACAAATATCACACTTATACGGTCTATTTATATATAGGTAGTGTTATGAACTTATGGTGATACGATAACGATCGACAATAGTCAATCGTTTTCTTTGATATGCAGATAATATTATTTTTTTAGATTGCAGCGGTGACGGTAAGTTTAGATTTTTTCCTGCGTCCGCCCGTCACATATCTGAATGCAATTTTTAAATAATTTAGTTACATTTAAACTGTGGTTTAGAGCTTTACATGTATTGTGTAATGTGAAATGTTTATTATTTTTTCCTTAATGTGGTAATATTATACATTGAAAACTTAATATGTTTGTAACTTAGTACTAACATTGTGCTCGCAACAAAACAAAACCGGTGAATTGACTTAAATTGGACGGACGTTGTGAGAAATGTGTCAAGTCAAAAATGCTGATTGTTCAGGAGAAGAATAAAACATTTCTATTCTTTAATTTTTGTTTTTAATTTGTTAGAATAGTTATTTCTGTCTCATAGACATATTTATTTTCAGATTTTCATTCAACTTTAAGTCTTAAATAATTTTAAGACCTTTGAAAGTGACATGACATTATTGACACAAACAATATCTGACTTGACACCTTTTGTACATATGACTTGACATTAATAACACCAATGATTTGGTTTTATAGAAGTTAGTGCTAACATACTATGTTAAATTTTAACTTTTAAGTTAGTAGGACTAACCTTTTGCAGAGAAGTTTTTCTTTTATTTTTCTTAATTTGGTGTAAAAGTTCTATAAAATGTATGATAGACTGATGAACACATACTTTTTTTTAAAACTAGGTACCTACTTAGTTTATTAGGTAACAACTCTGAAAAGAATAGTTTTACATAATATTACCTATGTAAGAAAACCAATGAAAAAATCTATAAGTACCAGTACACAGTATATTGATATATAATTTTGATGTATAATATCAAAATGACCAAAAAGTGACATGACACGTTTCTCACAACGTCCGTCCAATTATATTAAAATATAGATGCTTTATGTAATTTACTTTATTTTTAATGATAATCTTTTTTTTTTTAATTAGATAATTTTTAAATAAATTTTGTATTACATAATATTCCCTACAAATTGTTCACGCGCCGCCACTGAATATATTTATAAACCGTATGAAAAAGAGTGCAAACACTTTAGCTTAATGGGTTAGGCTTGAACTCGGTACAGTCGCATTCTTTGCTTTTAATTAAACCACCACACTACAAGTACCGCGCTCAAAATTCTATACTTGACTCAAAATTGATCAAATGTTTTTGAATTTTTAAATGTTTTCAAAACCATATTAATTGTAAAGGCATATAAAAATTTGTATTATGTCATCTTTTATTACGGGTTTTTTCCCAGGCTCAGCAAAACAAAAAAGGGCAGAGTTCGTTGCTGTCCTACTTTAGCACAGACACACCAAGCAAAAAGAAACGGTTTGAAGATAAAGCGCCAGAAGGTGTTGTTTTGGAACATGAACTAGAACCAAATGTAGAAGATGTATCAGGCTCGTCATACGCTCAGTCAACCGCAACTACTAAGCACATTGCTCCTAATTTCTGATACGGATCCTGACATTGGTGGGCAAGCCAATGCTTTGTTGAAAAATCTGGAAGAATTCAACTTCGTATTTGACCTGCTATTACTGAAGAGAGTTCTAGCACAATGTGACATACTATCAAAAACTCTTCAGTCAAGCAGTGTTACCTACGAAATTGTGAAATCTGTAAGAAACAGCACACTTGAAGTATTGAAATCCTTTAGAACAGATGAGTTTTTCTCAAAGTTGTTCAATCACTCTACAGAAATCGCTGACAAGTGCGGATTTAGAGCTGCTCAGCTACCAAGACAGGGAAAAATCCCCTCGAGAATTGGGGGAGGGAGTAAAGCCCCATTTGAATCTGTAGAGCAGTACTACAAAATTTCAATTGTCTGGCCAGTTATTGATATCCTAAGCGAGGAGATAGAGGCCAGACTTCAAGAAAACAACCTGGATGTACTTAACAATCTAAGCAAAGTTCTAGGTGGAACTGATGAAGATACAGCCAGTGTTAAGTATGTGTGTAAATATTACAATTTAGACAATGAACATCTTTTGTCTGAATTGAGATGTTTCTATAAAATGGAAGAATCAAGAAACACAACTATTCAAGAAAGAGCTGACATTTTTGTACAAAAATCTTTAAAAAATGTGTTCCCTATGCTTTTTAAACTTTTTCGTCTGTTTTTCACGATTCCAATGAACTCGGCATCTTGTGAGAGGTCTTTTTCGTGCTTGCGACGGTTAAAAACATACACCAGAAACAAGATTGGCCAGGAGAGGTTGTCCTCGTTAGCACTTTTGGCTATTGAAAGAAGTATTGAAGTAAACATTTCCAAAGTAATCGACGACTTTAATTTAAGCCAGAAGAGAAGACTTAATTTTGTGTAAAAATAATTAAAGTATGCTATAAATTAAAAAAAAATTTTTTTTATCATGTTTACTTGATTTATCCTTTTTTTTATAAGCAAATGGGCCAGGCACACATCAATTAAAATTAGGTACATTTTTATGTTGTGTGTGACCGATAATTATTTTACATGCGGTTTAATTAATAATTCAAGTCATTATAAATTATTTTTTTTAGGATAAATTGTTAGCAATTAAATTTTTACAGAAATAGTCTGAATGAGTTTCAAAAAATAAGAAATTTAAAGCCAGTTTTTGAAAAAAAAAAATCGGGAAGGGGGCGGGAATATCCCTCGGACCCCCTTTCCCCAGGGAGTATTCCTTACCACCCGATACGTCTTGCCACCTCAGTTTAAAATGTGAAATGACGCCCCTGCAAATGTGCATAGGGTATTTGCGTATGATTGATATTTTGAGGGAAGAAACCACCCATTGGTGATACTACCTATTTTGTGTTCTTAATTTATTCTAAAATTTCTAAAATTATTTCGAATAAAAATAAAATGTTCGAAATAAAAAACCAAAGTATTCAATACCAAAAAGTATTTAATACAAAAAAAAGTATTTAAAATACCATTCAAAATACTTCATGCTGAAAGTATTTAAAAAGTTATTCAATACTTAAAAAAGTATTTGAATACTTTTACTCAAATACTTTTACTCAAATACTTTACAGGACTGATAATAGGTAAATCAAAATATAAATATAGTTTGTATAAAACATAATTTTATAATTTGTAATTGTTAATATCTTACTATATATAATACACTATAAACCAAAAGCCAACCAATGTTGGCACCGGAAGCGCTAGTATCCAGTGAGTAAAAACATTTATTTGATAAGAAACTTTTCCGCCGTAAAGTACCGTGGGATTGTATGGATCGTCGCTTAACCATTCTATCTTAAACCGTGGTTTTTGCTAATAATTATTATCCTAGTCTGAAAATTGTATATAAAAATCTAAGATTTATGGCTTTGTATCGATGACAGTCGTGATTAACTACATTAATATAACATTAACCGCACGTTACCAATCATAGGCAATAGCTATATTTTAATCGCTTTTAAAACGATCAGCAATGAAATTGAATTATATTATTAAATTAAACTGTGTAGGCATGAAACAAGTGCATTAATTATAATAGTTTAATATTATATTATTGAACTAAGCAATAATATGCATATTGTATGCATTGTACACTTTTAATTTATATGATTAGGTGCAATATATCCTATAAATACATTTTGTCCTTGTCTAGAAGTTTGTTTGGCTGCATCCGAATTGGGTCCCGAATTCAAAAATGCTATACTAGTTGGGTCCGGGATTTTTGCAGGTACTACACTAGTTGGGTCCGGGATTTATGCAGGTACTACACTAGTTGGGTCCGGAATTTTCACACGTACAACAATAGTTGAGGTCTTAATTTTTTTTTTGAGTACTACATAAGTTTATTTTCCTTCTCATTTTAACAGACTTAGGAAATAACAGACTTAAAATATTGTTTAAAGAAATCACACGTGTGTTGGTAAAAATTTATAAGACATTAATTTTGCAAAATCAAATCGATTTATTATTCCTGCCTTTTTTTTTTGATTAATTTTGTCTTTTATAAATTTTGATAAATTGATCGTTGGAATATTTAAAAAAATGACTTACATGATCTCTGAATGCATCTCCATCGTTCAATATCATTTTTTTTTTGATTGTATATTTACTTAAAATAATCCCAGACCCAACTAGTGTAGTACCCAAAAATATCCTGGACCCAACTAGTGTAGTACCTAAAAAAATCCAGGACCCAACTAGTGTAGTACCTGCGATTTATCCCTAGTACTCGGGACCCAACTCGGATGCGCCGGTTTGTTTAAACTCACATTTTTATTTATTGATTGTGTTCTTATCTCAAAAATTGTTAGGTACTTATACTACTTACCCACTAAAAAAGTTATTAAAGATTTTAGACACGGAAATTCGATAGTTAATGTAAAGGTTGAATAAATAATTTATATTACTTACAAGTTATACAACTATAAGTAAGGACCTGTATATAGGTATAATTATGACTTATGAGTTTATGGAAGTTTTTCCAATTTTTAAAATAAATATTATTTTTCTTTTGATACTTAACAACAACCATTTAATGAAAAAATCGAATTAAAAAAAAAAAAAAAATCGTTCGAAAAAGTTATACTGATGAGAATAATATAGTAGTACACACTGTATATAGTTAAATTAAATTGAACTTTTAGTTTGTGCGTCATCGTTTAATCTTTATTATTAATAAAGTAGCATATTTTGTTATTCATAAATCAAAATCAAATACTAATGTTTGTTTTCGTGTTTTTGACATCAAATAATTTAAATCTTATGTCAGATTTTATTTCCAAACATTTCTCTCATCCATAATATCATAATTAAATATAATATATACTATACAGTATACATACATTTTAAATTCTTGAGTTGTTTATTGCTTATTTATGTAAATTGTTGTAATTCTAAAAATAACTCTAATATGATTAATAATATTTAAATGAACATTTAAAAACAATCATTAATTTCAGATCTTAAATAAACTGCAAGAGTATTAAATGACATTACTTAGATTACCTTCAGTAATACGTCTAATACTTATATTAATTTATAGTATTTTTAAATTATATATATAGTTTTGATAGTACAGGAAAAATCGATTCTGTTACTTTGTTGTTACATTTTTTATTTTACTTTAATCAAGTGTTCTCTTGGTAAAAATACATTGTTGTGGTGCCATTAGGTAATATATTAGGCCATTATTACCTCAGTATTTGTTTTAATTTGTACCTACTTCTAATTTAGTACATTTAGAAACTCTTTAAATGCATTCGAACATTAAAGTTTAATTTTTAAATTTGCAGTAAATTTAATTTATTAAATCAGTTTGCTATTAGCGTACGCACAACTAATAAAGGATTATCGGTTTATGTGATTATAATTGGCATGTAACGTTGTTGCATTATTATTTTAAAATATTTGTTGTATCGACTTTGGCAAGAAGTAATGAATTATATTTTTACATGGTTTTCAAAATTCTTACCTGTATAATGCAAGGTTTACTGCTAAGTGCTAGAGTGAATTTATTCGTTTATGACGAGACAAAAAAATGTTTATATGTGGTTGGTATTCAACAAATTAATTAAATTAGACTATGGCTATAATTAATGTTTTAATGATATTAGCTTACATAATTTAATTATTTTAATATTTATTCAACCCCTGGTGTTTTTGGCCGTTGTTATTTGGGATATAAGCACATGAACAGCAAACTTGATTATTATCAGTAAAAACTGACATCCATACTAAAAAGGTTAATGCTAGGGTCGGAGGAATTTTCAGCTCACTTATTTTATATCAAAATGTATAATAAATTCGTTGAACACAGCATAGTGTAACCAAACAAATTATACTAGAGTTCTGTGACCATTTTCAGCTAATAATAATTTCAGAAATTAAATCTGACAAATAATATTTACCGTACCAAACAACTTTTCCAGCATAATGTTATATAAATCACACATAAATATGTTTCAGACGTAATATTTTTATATTTTATAAGGTCGTTTGTTTCTCTACCTAAATTTTTCGTTAAAATGTTTTGACTTTTGCTTTGTTTGTTCTGTTTAACTGTAACTAAATAAAACAAATTTACAATATGACGTGCCAAGCACATGTTGATAAATGTATTTATTTATTTATATTAAAATTTAAAATCTGTGTCCTTATTGCATTATAGTTTAACAGATACAACTATATTATTGTTTATTAAACAAATGTAATACGGATTATAGTCTTAAGATTTATAATTTCGATATGAGTTACTATGTGATGAAATTATTGTTAAATAAAGTCGTTAGAAATCAAAAACTCTAACTGCACTAACATGGTTATTTATATTTTATGACGAGTATAGGTGGATAGAAGAAAACCTAAACCGTTCACATCTCCGATTTAGTTTTCCTCGCTCGCGCGTGACAACCAAAAATACCTTCGATGGTGGACATTTTACCGCCGATCTAGAATCGTAACACATTCGCCATCGTCTATTTATTAAAAAAAGAAAAACGCCAGTGACTTTCCGTCGCCATAAATCCAACGTCCTTACTAGGTTCAACAGGATATACATATTATAACCCTACACCATTTTATCATAAAGTATTAGTGGCTTCAGGCCTGCGCAGATTTTCGTTAGCGCAGCTGTAGGCATACCTACAAATGTACCACCACCGATTCGTGAGTTATCTCTGTGAGATCATGATAGGTGAGGACCATGTTGTGATGAATTTATAGTATGTATCTCTTCTAGCTACATTTAACAAATAAGAAAAATAAATGTAACTAAAATATAAATTTTATTAGAACGATAAACAAGAAGGAAAAAATGTCATTATAATATTATATATTATATATTATTATTTTTTTTTTATAGCCATGGAATAATAATTACATAATCAGTTTGTTGATAAAGATAAAAAAATAAATCAATAGAAGAAATATTTTAAACAGTAGTAGTCATCTGAACACGTTTTTGTTTTTTGTACAATACCTTTGCAAGTTTTACTTGTAAGAGTTTTTATATTATAACTTCAAAGAATTTATTAATTATATTTTATATATACAAAATTATATGTTGTTATTAAATAATAATGAACAAATTAATTTTCTTTTTAATAATAATAAACCTGGCAGGTAAGATTATGCACTAGATATTATAATAAATAAAAATGTATTAATTTGTTGAAAACACTTGCAATATATAAAAAAAATGTATAAAATTGTTTTTGTAGCAAAATAAAATTTTAATATATAAAAAAATATATTTATCGAGAAAAACAAGTTAGGAAAGCCGTATTTTAAAATATAATAACCTATATGATTCCATAAATAATTTTAAAAGAATTTAGTAATCTATTATTATACTTCTGCATAGAACTCTAAATAAATTAAATATCTCAATTTGTAAATAACTTACTGAGCATTTTTTAAATTCTTAAAGTGGCGTTACTAACATTGGAACGTCTAGCTGTTTCGTTTTGACGTACCTATTTGCTATAACTTGTTTTCAAAGGTTACCTTTCTCTATCATATTCTCACATTCCTTTATTTTTCAGATTTTTTTTCCAACTCAGTAATCGATAATTTTGCTTTTGGTATTTTATTAGTTATAGGTATAATATACTATTATAATAGTTACCAAAAGATAAATTATTTTATAACAAACCTGTTATGAGTAATTTTAAAATAAATTCATACTAACCTATAACAAAAATTTGAGTTTTAATTATTAATTTGTACTAGCCTATATTAAAAATTACCAATTAAATAACTAATTTTTTTTTTCGTTTTTAGGTAATTTTTGTGACTTTTAAAGTAACTTTGAAGTTTTAGCTCATTCTTTCTACATTTCTAGATTATAACCAGTTTTTATTGTATTGAAAGTAAAATAAAAATCACGTATGTTTATAAATTGTAATTCTTAATTTTAAAACCAATAAATAATTTTATGATCGTTTTTAAGTACTTAAGTCATTAATACATATACAATTTCTTACGTCATTAATGCATTTTTATGGAATTTTTATATCTATGTTGGTATTTTGGGGCATCGATATCCAGGTCATACTCATACGTTTCGCTTAAAATAAGCAACACTGATAAACCACATTATTATTAAATCAAAATAATAATAATAATAATAATGTTATTTGTTACCCAAAATAGTTATCGTATCATAATATGCCAGTAACTATGGACGGGTGTAATGAGCCAAAACTGAGATATAAAGTAGGTAAGTGGTAACTAAACTTATGTGTAGAAACCTAAAACGTATCGTACATAATATTATGATTTGAGTTAAATGTGAAAATGAGTTAACATGTCGTAATGGGTGTTTAACATATTAATTGATTTCGAATTGAATGAATTGAACCATCACGTCATATTCTATGTTTTTCCTGAGCTGTTTCATCAATTCGTCGCTACGATGAGTTATTCGTTATCATTTATCAGATATTGTGTTCAGTACTTCTCATTAATTTAAGCACCTCTATATAACAATTTGAACATAAAATGCATATTTTAATGATAATTATTATTATAAATTAAACTCAATAGGTATTTATTAAAAAAAAGGTGTTAATATTTTTTCATGAGCTTAAATAATAAATACCTACTGTATGATGATTAACGGTGAATTGGAATTTCAGTAAAAAAACATAATATTTTTTGTAACTTTATGACATTTTTGTCCATGTTATTACACAATACTGACATCAAGAAAAATATATTAATTTTTATAATTTTTAATTTACTATACATATATACATGATATAGGTACCTTTAAATGAGGCTTATTCAACTAATTACTTATTTACAATTTTTTTTTTATATAAACGTCATTGAGAGTTTTATTTGCCGGCAAATGAATAATTATTATAATCGCACACTACACTGTGCTTATATTTTATTTTATTTATAATATCTCGATGCTGTGCGCAGGCCGACGATTTAAAAACTTAAATTACTTGAAGAAATCTACCGGCAATACTAAATTTATTTGCTAATTTATTTAATATCGCGTAATTCGTGACGCTTCGGAGACTATTGGTTAGTATTATGATTTATGATACTGAAAAACCCTGCAAAAGAAATCAGAAAAACATTCAATGCAACGACGGAAAAGTGGAACATCCAATATTATAATGTGTGCTTTCCTCTCCTCTTTCCTGACAAAATATGGAAAGAAGTGATGTGGTGACACTCAAGATGGTATTTGAAACAATTCTGCAAAAAAAAAAAATGATACCGAAAAAATATTCAATTTCCTCGCTGGAAACCTGAAACATAAAAACTCCTACTTTTTGTATATAAATATGTATATATTAGTTGTATGAAAGTAATTGAATTGTAAGAATTCATAATTTACCTATATTATACTGAATTCCAAAAGACTAGACACTGATTCTACGCTCTATTTCCCCCTTATACCATTTAAGCTCGTTATAAGGGAGAAAAACATAATTGTAAACATTTTCTGGATTATTCATTCGACGTTAAAAATATGTCCTCTTAATTATAGCATTTAGTCAGTAAAGAGGTTGAAACTGTATTAACGCCTGTTTTTCTTCGAAAAATAGTTTTTGTGTACTAAATATTATGTAAAAACTGTCCATTTTCGGTTGTAGGCTCACTTCCATAATCGTTTAGTGCAGTCTGAACGTTAATTAGTGGTTTTTAATTCCCAACTGTATTCTGAATTCATATCAGAATCTACGTCCTACCACGAGTAATTTAAATATCGGCATAGATAATAATTATCGTATATTCGTATCACACACACTAAAATACGAACATGGTAAAATATTGCGATGACTCAGTGGTGCCGCACGTGTGTACCGGTACTTTTAACACGATTAACTATTTTTTTTTGACAATTTGTGATATTTCGACTGACTGCAGCTAACCCCCGACATAATAACGTACACGAAATATCTGGTGAAATTGATCGAAACTCCAATTGGTTGAACACATTAACGACCACAAAAATACTGTCAAGAGGTATAAAAAACACGCATTATTGTAAAACTATTGTCGCGTGGCGTTAACGTCACATACCTAGTGGACCCGAGTATATAAATTGGACATACGGGACATTTGGAACTGAGTTAAAGCCCGAGGAAAATAATAATAATAACCAAGATAAATAAAACATACGGCTTATTAAATTTGATGTGTGTTGAAAGGTTGGACTACCGGAATGGAGTAATCGCATAAGCCGAGATAAGAAACATATGCATGGCGCAAATCCATCCGTCGAAAATTTAATCGATTACAACTGTCCGAAAAAGAAAAACCCATTTGACAGTGTTTAATATACTTGTACCTAATATACCTAAATACAAATATATATATATATTTTAAATCGTTATAGTAAAATGAAAAGGTATTATATTTTTGTTTATCATATTATCGTTCCCTTTCGTATTTTTATTATTATTATTTTTCGTATGGTCTTTGTAGGCAATAGTATCCGAACAGTCTTCATTGAGTGCAACGGAATCATATTACTGAGGTCTGAGATAGGTATAGATAATTATAGTCAAAATAAAACAATTAATCAAATAAATAAATCAAAATATAGACTACAAATACGATAAATAGACTATTCGACTTTGTTTCTGTATAGTATTTAGACATCATTGGATATCGGCGTCTAATTAGTCTAGACTTTTAACTGTTTTATATGTTACTACTAGTTCTGTCAGGGTTCCGTGGTATTTTCTCTTTACACACTCACTTAGTATGTGGTTCATGATTTTGTTCGTCTGCATCACAATCATATTTAAGGTCTGCCTTGATTTTATATTTATGTAGTAAATAGTTAAGTCTATCCTGGATGGTGTACGTACTTCCAGTGGAGTAGACATGATTTGCGAAAGAGGGCGATCAAAAAAAAAAAACCGACATAGATATATGGGGGGGGATTAGAAAATTCCCCACCCTTAAAACTTTTTACTAAGGTAATAATAAGTCAATGGGAGGGACCTGACCCCCACGCCCCCCTTCCCTTGTCTACGCCACTGCGTATTTCATATGCGGTTCAGTCCAGTCCACAGTATTCGAGGGAGATCTGACTGTTTCTTACGTACATTATCCACAAGAAGATCGTTAGCTTTCCCGATCTTCTTTCCGTGCATCGGGATGGAGACGTTCATAGTCCTTTAATGATACTCTAGCTAGGGTAGTCGGGACTTAAGTCTTGGTATCAAAATTCCATCTTCGTGGATTTGAAATACCTGGTTAATCTTATTTAATCTGTAAATAGCAGTACACTTTCCTGCATACAAGTATGTGGCGATTTAATGTGGGAAAAAACTGTTAGCTATTGTGATTTTGTGGACTCAACTGTGTAAGTAACTATACGGAGACCTCTTGCAGATCTAAATCTACTATCCTGCAGTTGGCTCTTCTTTCCCATATCGGAGAGAAGTATTCATACAAGAGTATGACATGATTGATGAGTGGAGACCTAGGTATAACAGGCTTCCCACGTGGTTCCGGCTAGATTTAATATTAAGGCTGATCTAGTGTATAGTTTAAAATCAACTGTAAACATCTGTCAATGGAGGGGAAATAGCGTCTTAAGTCTGTGCGGTCGGTAACTCAATGGGAGAGCCCGACATGTCCAATGGCCAGATTTTGAAATCGTACGGAAAGAAGTTAACTGAACTTTCACCAGATGGTGTTTGCATGTTAGGGTTTGAGCCAGTATTATGCCTAAATATACTGGTAATTCATCGTTTTGTATCGGATGTCTGCAGAAGTAAACTTAAAAGTTTTTGGTTACCTGCTCTATTATCAAACGAAATTAGGATACTGCAGTTTTCAAAGGATTTGGCTTTAATCGCTACATATTGAACTAATTTTCAAGTAGGTATATCAAGATCAATTTTTAGGTTGCGTTCTATTCTTTCATCATTTTCACTTTGTGTTGCTATGCATATATTATCAGCATACATATACTTTTCAGATACTGCACTTAAGATACATTTGTAGCTGCTTTAGTTAGAGTAACTTAGACCTTTGCCGTTGTCAGAGCTTTTAGAAAGGCTTTTTTTTCAGAAGAATTTTGAATTGCATTCATGGTCCTGTATAGTGATAGACGTCGGCTGGTTTATTGGCTATTAGTTGATTTACTATTCATTTAAAATATATAGTGGGTGAGAGCGAGTGATAGAGGTCGTGACCGCATGCATGATATCGATTCGTAGTATACATCACTGCAAGAGTAAATTAAAAACCAAAAACTACATCAATAAGAAATAAGCCAGATATTAATTATTTATTATGTTATTCTTATGAATTAAAAAGTATCTTTATAGACATGATGTTTTTATAAATAATTGATGATTTTAAAAGTTACATGCAGGTATACCTATATGTATATATTTTAACATTTTGATGTACCTACATATGGATATTCGTATACGTTTCTATCCAACGAACGTGTATCTAAATGTCGTATACGGCTTATAAGTCTAATTGACACTACTATAGTCCATTCCATATGTTATATTATTTAACTGTATAATATTTTATGTACAGAGTAATTTATTATTAATTTTCATATGAATATTTAATTGGATCGAAATTTACGAACTTTGTATAAATAGTTGAATAACATGCTGCATGCCTACATCTGACATTTCAAGTGGTATAAACTGTAAATAATTACAATAATTATTTGCTAAATTATCAACTGATGATGAATATTACACAAGTGAGATATGTTTATTTATCACAAAATCAACAAATAATTTATTTTCATCCAACAAAATGTTTAAAAATTGAAACCCTTTTTTTAAATTGTAACAATATTTTTATAAGTAATTTTTATTATAATGTTATACTACAACTAGTCGAGTCGTTTTAACTTGGTATAACATCATACTAACACATTTTGACTAAAAATTAATTAAACATCTGATATTATAATTTTATCGATTAGCTATTTATTATTTTTATAATACTGTTGAATTATTTGTAGTAGATACGATTTCATGGGCAACCACATGATCATATTCAGTGGAGCTTATTATGATTTTCATTTAGCAAATAAAGATTTAATAAAAATAAAAATAAAATAATTTTAATGACATGATTATATATTTATAAGAGTTTTGAATTGATGTAAATATTATTTCTACACTTCGGTCGTTAGAAACATATTTTCACACGATAAAGGCTCATTTTATAAGAACTCATTGCATGTCATTTGCAATTTAAAATACGCCTAATATTTAAATAATAATAATAAAAAAAATACTTTAAAATATAGTTACTAGCCACCATATAGGTACCTACCTACATAATATGTTTTTAAATTTTTATGTAGGAAAATAAAAATGTTAGGTTAAGACTTAAGCTGTACCTATAGCTGCACAGTTTAAATAATAATTATATTAAAAAGTTACCAAATTATTGTATTTCAAAGGTGTTTTGAATTAAATTTCAGTATGATTCGTTGGTCACTTTGTAGACGATTTTTTCTTCATAATAATGTATTATAGTTCTTATTAGCAATTATAACATAATAATTCACCAAATCAATCCTTTCAGTGTACCTTGTGTTAGAATTAAATATAGGAGCTAGTCAACGAGATGCTGATGTTGTGATGTCACGCGTATCTCCACGCATAGCTTTTTTTAAATAATACTTATTTAAATGTCGTAATATTATATTAACACCACACCTCGGGGGATCGAAAAATTATTACCTTGTCGGGCGCTCATCTTGTATATCCAAAATCAGACTAAGTTGAAATTGAGTAAGTTAGGTTTTTTCTACGTCATGAGTTACGTTGCAGACAGCAGTCACCGACAGCATTTCATCAGCCAATCCAGCAGCCAATTATGAATCAATCAAAGGTTTTAAAGTATAAGTGAAGCAATAATTTACTGTGGAGAATCCAAAATAGTCGTACCACGGATCATAACATTACTGTAGGAATTTTAAATAATGAAAGAGTTTGGAACAGCGGCAATACAACTAATACGAGTACCTATAATTTGTTATTCAAATCATTTTTGAAATAGAAAAGTAAACCAAGACTAATTGACATTTTTACTTACTTTTCGAACTTTTTTATTATCTTCCATACTAGGCCACTAAACTATAATGTTTGTTATAGAAAAGCCATTTGAAGATTTGAACATAATAAATGATGTACTTGAGGTGTGTCAAGATATTAAATTCGTAAGCGATTACTATCGTAATCGAAAAACATTCGAAACACGCTATAATAAAAAAAAAGTGTTTCAAAAACACACACAATCGTATAGTATAACGTATGGTTTTTTTTCTCTATAGTCACCAGAGAAATAATATCGAGATAGGTATAGATTATAGTATTTACCTACATGCAGGCTACGATATTACTAAACTTGCACTGTTAAACTAATGTGATATATCTTTATTGGAATAATTGATTATATTCACGAATTGTTTAATAATTTAAGGAATAAACTATATTGGCAATACTTACATAATTAATTTTACTGCTCGTGGTACGTACGCAAAATTGGTCAGTCGACCGAAGCGATCCATAGTTAATGAATTCAATTATACAACTTTTTACGGTTACCTTATGTAAAGATCTACATCGCACATAATGAGCTATAAGTTTAAATTGTTTCTCGATAATCGACACGAGTCACGCGACGTTTATTATTTTAGTGACACAAATTGTTTCGTTTCGATGTTTACTAAAGATGTATAATGCATGAAATGATATATTATTAATATGTATATTATATTGTTATAATATATTAAAGTTTCAAAAACGCCATTCGTTCGCCCCCCCCCCTTCTTTGGCAGTGCACGTATACCTAAGTACTACTACTACTACGACTCCCGATGGCATATTTATGGGTTGTGCTGTGAGGAGGATGTGGGAGTTTCCACCTCCTTCCCAAGGGGATTTATTATATTCCTTTATATTATTTTCTTGAACTCATATAGGAAAAAAGAATATTTTAAATATTATTGTTTGTATCACAATGTAGGTAGATAATGTATGTATTAAAAATTAAAAATTGTGATGTATGAATTGTAATATATACCTTATAATATATATATATTTATCAGGCATAGTTTCAGAATATTTTATTTTGTTTACATTATTTTAAATCTCTTAGCGGTGCAATAATAAGGATTCTACTTGAATCGTGGTTATGGTTTTTTTGTTTTTTTATATATAAATTTAATACGGGAGCTTACATATCATATAATAACACCCCCCCTCCTCAAAAAAAATATATGACAATTATCAAATACGCCTCTGACTGCTGCAGGGTATTATAATGATATTACTTCTATATAATACAAGTTCTACTATACTATATACAATACTACACTACCTATTACTATTACTACCACCACCACCACCTGCAGACAGCCGAGATCGAAATAATATACTACAGCAGTTCGTATTGACCGGGTAAATTAATAATAGTACCCAAATAGTATTATATTGTGTGTGCCCGTTATATCATTGTGCAGTGTATAATATGTACGCAGCACAATACGCGGAGCCTTTCCGCTGCAAAAGTCGCGATCGCGCACTTTCATACATTTTTAAATCCACGCCCGGCCGCCACCTGACAACGCGCTCTCTGCCGAAACGTTCGTACGTGGAATGGTTGAAAATGGCAATAAACCCTATGTAAATGACCGAGTGGTGCACGCTGTGCACCTTATGTTATAAATAAATCTCGTAAAAAAAAAAAAAAATAACAAAAAGGTCAGCGAGACAAAATGCAGCGGACGACAAACAACGAATAATATAGGTACCTAATATTATATTATGTAGGTACCTATACACGGTGTACATACTTTATTGAATATATTGTATCCATTGAATAAGCAATATTTGAACGATACCTAAAATATTAGGGATACACAAACATTACACGGAATCCTCAATACACGTCAGAAAATTATTTTTTTTTTATTTTTTACTATTATTATTATTTCGATCTTTTTACTTTTGAGCTTCCGTCACAGATGTTGTAAGCAATAACAACTCTTAGGTATTAAAACAATTTTCTATTTAAATTTATTGGTTTTTATTCTTTTGTTAACTGCACATTCCGCGTGGGCGTGGCGTATACTATATATTATTATGTCTGAAGGAGCAAAATTGTAAATTTTATTTTATTTGAATGAATTCAATTATACTTCAGTCGAGTCATGGTCTAAGAATCTTCAATAACGGACCCCCGGGCCGTTCTATTATTTACTTAATAATAATTTGAAACGAATTTAAATTTACGATTCATGAGACATTGCATTCTACATCTGACCGATTTTCGTATTTGAATCCAAAAGATTCATTCACAGCTTCAATTGACTATTTATAAAATTAGCATAAGCCCAAGAGTTAAGACGAATTTCACATAAATATATTATTATTTAAATACAACAGAATTGAATAACTGATTAGCTCAATTTAATTTATTTTAAGTTATTATTATTATATTGATTGGTTCTCTTAAAAATATAAGCTTTTGATCATTCCCCAATGAATATTATAGTAAGTTATTTACTCTATATTTAACTAATATTTTTTTCTTCAAACAAGTACAACTAATAATTTATATATTTTAATATGTTTTTAGTTGAGCGTATTGTTTTTCACAACACTATAAATTCGATGTTTTGCAATTATAACTCTTCTTGTGTCATTATCATAAGACGTTGAACATAGTTTATTATAACAATAATAATTATATTTATATTTACCTACCTAGATCTAATACAATATACTGTGAACGAACGAGATACATATTTTATAATCAAATGCCTAACTATGAATTTTTCGAGTAGCAATAATAGGACTAAAAATCAGTGTTAAATG